TTCACAAAGTGGATGTTCCCTGTTCAGCTGGGCTGTGTAGGCTGATCACTAGGGAAATTTATGGAATAAATAATACAATCTGACACTCCGCTGTGTCTGGGAATAGCCTTAGCAGTGCTACTACCTATTTAGTGTTTCATCTCTGCCAAATGCCAAAATGACTGGCATGTGTTTTGGATCAGATCTCCACATTGYGAATCCGTGCGCAAACACATTTAGCTGTATCACACTACATGAGCCATAGGCTGTGTAAATTGGACAAGTCTGGCTTTGGGCTATTTATGCAATGCTGGATTTAAACTAGGAATTTAATCTGTTGAAGATGTGACACATTGCCATTTGACAGTGACTGTATTCATTGCTTCTGTCGGAAATATTCCATCTCATTTGTAGCTAGCTATTTTTTGGGGTTTTTTTGTTGCTTTTTCTTTTTAATGATCCTTCGTGTTTTGACATAGCATCTATATGTGTCTATAGTGATACTTTAGATGTACTGAACTTTTCCATTTTCCTACAGGCTTAGCAGTTCTCCCAGGAGAATCTCAAACTCTCCTCCCACTTCCTTTCTGTTTGTTTGAAGACTTAAGTGAGCACAGTCCAGTTTTCAACAAAGATGGAAAGGAAAATTGTGAAAAGCACAAAACATATATATATTTTTTTCCCCAATTGATATTGTTACAATGAGCCAAGGGGAAATGTTGAGGGTCACGGATACTGAGTCACATGGGAATGAATTAGGTCACTCCCCAGCTAAAGAAGTGTGTCTTCCTTCTCATGTAGAACTGGTTTATAGTGTTCCTAGTGGTTGCTACCTGCAAGATGAAAGGAAGAAAGCCGGGGCGGGGAGGAGGGCCAGGGACGGACTACAAAACTACCAAAAAATACCCAAACCAGAAAAGGTCTACTTCATTTTTGTTGAGCCTATTACCTGCATTTCTAGTATTTGTACATATAAGCCTTCTATTCTAGCACTGGAGGTACACCTGTATGATTATTACAAAGTAACTTTATTACTTGAAATATTTTATAGTCAGTATTCCAGATACTTTCTCTTTGTTCAAAAGCAACTTAAAATGGGCTCTGTGAAGCTTGAGCATGCAGATTCCACCAGGATCTCATTAAAACAATCAAAGAACTAACTCACCACTCAGAAGTGATGCTCTCTATTAGAAAAAAAGAAACTTTGACCATCTGAGTTCAGTCTTCCATTTGCTTAGAATCTGAAATTGCAAAGGCATCCCTATATTCCCAACTTCAATTTTGTAAAACATCTTTTTTTTTTTTTACAGGATGCAGATCTATGAAAATTATTGAGGATCTTCCATTTTTTTGCTTGATCAAGGCTATATTAGCAAATGCCATAGTAATTCCAGAGCATTTCTTATCTCCTTTCTACAGGTTCTCCCCTTCAGAGCACCTGGACCTGGCAGTCTCTTCCCCTTGTCTCCTGCRTGGTCCTTTCCCACTCTTTTAGGCATCTCTTTACCAGACCTACTCTTGAGCGGTGCTGAGAGAAGTATGACCTTGCTAGACCAAGCCTGCATATTCCCTATGTAAAAACTATGGTATCGAACTCCTGATTCATTTCAACACAAAGTAAAGGAACATCTCTAGTATATGTTTATTTGTTTAAATTAATACATCGTATATGCTAGTTTCAGGAGAACTGCTGAGATCWAAGCCAGAAACGAAATATTCACAAATAGGCAGGTTTACTTTTTGAATTGGGATTTTTAAATAGGAGGCCAGTGTTCAGTGTGGGGAAAAAAATATATACAACATCATTTGCAAAATCTGTTAGGAGTACAAAATGTTAGCTCTGTTACATCTTGTTCAGCTAAGCAGACATGGCTTACTTTCAAACTGTTAATAATTATTAAATACTTCTTGGAATAATAAATATAATACTTATATTACTTCTTAACTGTACACACATAACAGCAGAGTCCAGCAGCACCTTATGAAGAGAAAAATGAGAGAGTAGCCTCTAGACTGACAAGGAATTCTAAAAAGAGTAGGGCAGCGCTACTTCCTGATAAATAACCTTTTAAGAGCATAGCAAATAACACAGCACACAACAAACCTCTGTTACAATATTATCATAAACCATTTTATCCTTTGAGTTACTAAGCACGTAGCACCTGTATTTGCTGTCACAGACTGGAAGCTGCCTAGCAGGCAGGAGAACTCAGGTTCACAAGGAGATGGCTGAGTCCTGGTCAAACTCAAATCATACCTTGTTCTGGCATTACCTACAACACAGGACACGGGCAGTATCTCTATAGGGCTTCTGGGCTTCTGCTCAAAGCAAAATAAGGAAGCTGATCTCTTGAAAATGAGAAATGGGAAATAAGAGAACAAATTTCTATACAGCTTTTTCAAAGCTATTAGAAAGCAAGGGCTGTTACTGTCTGTTCCCAAAACAGTGCCAATGTAAATAGTGTGAAAATGATTTCTGTTTGAAAAGCAAGGTGCTTCACAATGAAGACTGTTATTTCACGTTTAATTTGTCCCTCRAGTCCTCTGTGTAACACGTCTCTTGGACCAAACGATACCATGTTCTGCAGTAGCAAGACTGTCGTTCTCCTAATCCCTTGGCTGGAGTCCTTTGGTACTTGCTCCTTTTCTCAGTAATAGTTTTGTTTTCAGTTTTCTGACCAGTGACTTMTTGTGGCTTTCAGGCGTGTTCTTCACTGCTTGAGGGTAAATTACCTTTGTTATGGCTAAATTAGCTTCATGAGACATGGTYGCATATACAGCCTCCTTGTAATGGGATATTCTCTGCTTTCTAGGAAGGTTTCAAGGAAAGGGAGTTATATTAGGAATTAAGGTCAACGAGCATTGCAATTCTGGGGACACTTGCTCCTTTTTACCTGTCCCTCTGTGGCTTGCTYTTGTTTTTGCTGCAATGAGAAGGGGAACTGTGCAAATGGGTAACTCGCTGCCTCCAGGGTAGGCCTGAAAGCATCTCCGGGAACCGCTCCRGCGGCTGGATGTGTCTGTGGTGCTCTCAGTTCCTGACGGCACCTCTGGCATTTGCTCTTGCACRGTCAGTGAGGGAGTGCTGGAGAAGCAGTGATGCCCCTGCGTGCTGCTAGCAGACCCTGCCTTGGTGGGTTTGATGCTATCTGCTGTGGACAGACTTTCCCCTGAGCTCAGGACCGGGGCCTCAGCTGTACAGCACTCTCAAGCGGAGGCAGATGTTCAACTGCACTGGGTATTTCTGAACACTCTGCTCAGTAGTTTGGGTATCAAATGGAAGCTGAGCTCTGCTGAACATCTTTCCTCTGTGGCACAAGACTGCTCTTTTGTCTGGAATGCTTTGATATATAACAGTGTGTCTCTGCCTTGCTAAAAACTGCCTATCTCTCCAATACCTCTCAAATTCGCAGGCAACAAGACTTTGCAATGCAATTCTTTTGCCCTCTGAGAAAGAGCAGAGTTGTACACTTTGCTCTTGAAAGTTTTCTGTTTCTTCTACTTGACCCTATTGTCTTCCTTAAAAGATGGCTCCTTTTCCCAATGGAGATGTCTTGCAGTGGAAGCAAKGGATAGATTATATATTCATGATAAAATAATCCATCTGAAAACATATGTGAACCTCTGAAATACACTTAGTGTGGAGGGACATCATTCACTGCAGTGCCAGTGGCCTGCATTCCACCACTTGGAATAACCCTCTTTGTTGTAAAGAAGCACATATGTCAGCTATGGAGTAAATTGTGTTTAGAAGGATGATGCATATGTTTAAGCTTCTTATATCAATGTTTTTTCTGCTCTCCATTGTGAATCTTTCTTACCTATTATGTGCTATGTTTGAGCCCTGAAAAGTGAAATCCCTTCTRCAATCGCAGACTGCACAAATACGGTTTTATGTGATGAGTAAGGAACGTCGCCCTGTGGATGCTGATTCACTGGTAGGTGYGAGAATTATTGCTGCTGTAAAGGGAGAAGTTTCTTATAATGGCAGGGAGCTGCAGCTACACCTTTAGCCTTAGCAAGCCATAACTGCATGACTTTATATTGATAAAAACTTATTATAGACTGAGCACAATAACAATGTATTTTAAATCAAGATCTTGATGGGTAAATAAAGAAGGCAGCAATATTTGTAAGTGATGTACCATATTGATGGGGCTTAACCTTTGGAGATGGAATATCAAAATGACATAGGAATATTTAAAAGACCTTTAAATCTTTATTTCCTTCTGAGGCAGYAGAATGGCTTRGGGCTGTTTGTCATATATCTTGAGGATGCAGGAAATAAGGCCCTGGTGAAAGAGCCCATGCTGTTGGGATGGTATGTGCTTAATGAGGACTGCTTTTAGCTACTTAGGCTGCAAGTCTGAATGTGTGCTTGTGTGCAAACCTGAGGATAAATCACTGAGAAATAGCATTAGTAGAACTCTTTTATACTGTAATTATTTTTCTGAAAGGCCTAACCCTYACTACTACAACTGTGTTAATAAGGGAAAATCTGTGATTCTGATACAAGGAAAGCTAAAGGGTGATTTGCTCTGGGAGGTATTGCTTGCCTTGTAAGGGCTCTTTTCCGGTGTTCCTTCTAAGATAAAATTTAATCAGATAATGGAATTTCAAAATCATCTTTGATAGCCATGATAAACTGAAGAGATAAGTGGCAGAGTTGTATCATTTTCTCAATGAAATTACTCTCCTTGCTTTACGTGCACTTACAGGCAGACTTGCAAATGCTCTGCTGCTCATTAAACGTATTGGTCTGAGCAGACAGTAGAACAAAAGGCCAACGCAGTCCGTTTCGTTTCACTCGAGGAATTGTTGAATACTCTCATACTGTTAGAAATGTAGCAAAACATGAACATCCCTTATGCCAGAGGAAAAGCTTCTGTGGCCGTAACCAACTCAGTGCTTTCAAAGCTTTACTTTTAGCACTTTGCTAACTCCCAAGACGTTGCCATTTCCTCTTAATTTTTCCCCAGTTTCTCATTGCATGTGGKGGAACTAGCACAGTCATTTCAATAAACAAAATATCTGGATTGCATTACTTCAGAGACTGACCGAGCTTTCATGCGCACCAACATATTTAACAGAAATCTTGCTTATATTGCAAAGTGCTTAGTATGTTTGGATTTGTGAGACCTATGGTTAGAAGTGTTCTCATCTACTTACATAATAAATCAAATGCTAAAGTATGTTGCTTTTTTGATAACTAGAAAACTTCTTACAAGTCTCTAACACTCCAGATAAAGGAAAGTAAATCCTGCTCCTTATACATCAAATGAGTAAGTATAAAAATGTTATTGTTTCATACCTACTGCCTTTCTTGATGCCCTTGACCTGCTTTAGTCCTTGAATGTACATACTTTACCTTAAATTATCTTTATTGATTTGGCTTGTTCATCTCTAAAAGCTGCTACCAACTTCCAGTTTCTGGTAACATACAAATCACGCTATAAGCTGCCTGCTTTCCATTTGCCAGCTGATTTAAGACGTTGTCCTTTCAAATACCTATAAGCATTGCTTGCTTCTCCATTTTTCTTTCCAGTAATTCCTTCAGACTTTTGTTCCTGTGCTTGAAATACAGGTAATCAGCGAGAGAAGGGCCGACCCTGCCCAAGCCGAGGTGCTCTTTGCTGCTCGGGCCCTCCGGCCTGCGCGAATCCGCAGCGCTCTTTGCGAGTCCTCCCTCGGTCAGCGCTTGCTGCCCCTGGGTGCCGCAGGGCTCCCTGGCGTCCGTGCCGGCGTGCTCCGCTCTGCCGGGCACGTGCAGCTCGCAGCTGGCGCGGCGGGCCCTGCGCGGGCTGTACTGCCCGGCCTCCGAGCTGTTGTCCTCCTCCTCCTCCTGGCACGAGCTGCCCTTGGCGCTCTCGCCATCCGAGTGAAACGCGGCTCCCTTCCCTTGGCCTTTCTGGGAAAGATCAAAGGGCTCTTCCTGTTCCAAGCTTCTTAAGACGGTGGTCTGGGACAGAGCRATTCTTCCTCTTCCAAAACCTTGTAGTGGTTGAAGCAGGGAGAAAAGGTAAGACATATATAGCACAATTGACTACATAATGTATGGTTAAAAAGCAAAAAGTGAGATGACCTTCTATTCACTTCTATTACCTTTGTCTTCCACCCAGCTATTTCCAAGCGCTTCAGTGTTTACAGCTTATGACATCTCCTTTGAAATGCTCTTTAAAGGAGCGCTATTGTATGCACTTTACAGACAGGTCAGGAATGAAACATTGTCTCATACATGCTTGACGCTCCATGAGAGAGCTAGGAATAAAAGCAAAGTGTCCTGGCCTCTCACAAACTATTTTTTGACAGGGAACCAACCCATTTCCTCCTGTTTCCTATTTTTCTTTAAATCAACACTTTGATCTAAATCATCACATGCCATAATCAAAGTCCTGAATTTGTCCACTTTTTTTTTCTCTTTTTTTTCCCAAGGAGTGGAACAGATGAAACAGGTTAACATATTTGTTCTGTGGACACGCCAGGACAAAGTTACTACATAAAAAATGAACACGCAATCATGTCTGATTGGTCTGTGACCTACACTCTCCCTGATTTTTACTGTCTCATCTGGTGCCACCACAAGGCTGTATGCACTAGTTAGTTCTACAGCTCGAGGAAATCATTAAAATCAAATGATGGACCTGTTTGTCTTAATATTACTCTCTGTTTCTCTTCTCCTTGCTGTAAACCCAGGAAGCATCCATGGGCTCAGATATTACCTTGCTATCAGGATGCACAGGGGAAGACACAGACTCTGCAAGCTCAGTTCATCTTAATTATAGTGTAATGGCAGTRAGTGAGGCAGTGAGGGTGTCATCTAACAGCAAAAGTCTATTACGGCCACTATAGTAGCTGCTTTTTCTTGCTGCCTTTTTTTTTCCCCCTATACTCCCTCCCTCCATAATTGGATCCAGTTTCTGCAGGATTTATGCAGCCTCCCTAGACCCAGCTGCTCCACTGCAACAGGTTGTGTTTGTTAAAGTGCCTTCTGAGCAGGTGGCAGCCCTGGCAAATTGTGTGTGTCTGATCAGCCCCAGGGGCCGAAGAATCTGTGTACGCTGGAAAGCACTTAGCCCGCCTGCAGTTACAWGTAATTGTGTCACTAGCATGGTCTGTAGGAGGTTTACAGGGGAAAAAACAAAAGCCATTTATATTATTGTCTTTTAGGAACCATGTAAATTTTATCACAAATGTCACTAAGGGTATTTTCACTCATAATAGGCTATCTTAAAGCCTGATTTTGAGGAACACTGTGAAAGGGTGTTTTTCCCTCTTTCAAGTGGATAAATATGTCCACAAAATCTTAGTAAACAAAATCTCTGGGATACTCAAATTCTCAAAACAATCCTCCCTAATTTCCCCACTTCTTTAGATAGAGTTGATGTGTGTGTGTACGCATGAGGCCAATTTTAGGAAGTGTGTATGGTGGATGGAAGATAGGAAATGCTTTGCAGGGTACTCTGAGGGATCAAAAAAACATGTACTTTGAGATGGGAAGGAGTGTTTCCTCCAGTTTGTTCACTTCCTTGTTAGCTGAGTCTTGAGTTCATGGTCTTCTTTGAAAGCCAGCTATGTCAATATGACACAGAATACATGTATTTTAAGCAGAAAGGCTCCTGGATTTGCGACCACTTTGTTTTCACCTACTACTTGCTCTGGTCTGTCCTTCTGTGCTCCAAGTTATCTAGCCTGAACGGTGGGTGATGCAAGGGCCAAAGCCTCCGAGGTCTCATCTGTTGCACTAGAGTAATCAGGAAAGGAATAAGAACCTCTCGGGCTTGTGAGATTCAGTCTCTTCCAGTATCACGGAGCGTGTGGCACAAGATCCTAGATCTGCAGCACAGAGCCCTTTAGTGTGATGCACATCCTAAAACCTCCTAGAGAACAATGTTACTGATAAATATTACCTTGTGAATGCAATCCTCTTTCCATAACTCCATGTTTGACTTTCATGTGCCTGGTGAGGTTGCCCTTCAGGGTGAATTTGCTGGGGCAGTAGAGGCACTTGAAAGGCTTGCTGTCTGAGTGCAAGTGCATGTGGCCCATTAAATTGTGCATCCTGTTAAACTCCTTTCCACACAGCTGTCAAAAGCAGTAAAAAGGAAAATTATTTGTAGAGGTACTTTCAAGGTGAACATTTTAAAAGAAAATAGGACCTACATCTCTATCTTAAACCCTGGCAGATTCCCAGTGCAATTTATTTTTCTGTCATAGACACAAAGTCATGCATACAAAAATACAGGGTTGAGTTTCCCCTATCTAGGCCCTTCTGCACAGCTCTCATTTTTTAAATTGGGGCTAGTGGAGGACACACAATCCAGAATCCTCCCCAGATCAAGGAATGTTGTTGTCAGGAGAGACATAATTATGTAACCCGAAAAGCTCTTAACTTGAATGAAGTCCAAAGTATATAACCTATTGCACAGGTGAACCGTTTACTTTGTAGTTTATACATCTAGATAGAATAGAATCAATTCTTCTAAATAGAATCTAGTCATCAAGAGCAATGCAGGGCAGGATGGAAGTACAAGATCAAACCAATAAAAGGTATCTGTGAAACAGCCAAGCAGAATATCACTTCTCCTTAAGTGGAATTGAAATGACTGCCCATTTTGCTTAAAGCTAGAAAAAGCAATTCCTTTTTAGCTTGTTTTGTTGCTGCCCCGTTTCGTCTCTCTGCTTCTCGCCTGCTGTTTCCCAGGTTGTGTGTGTGGGGAGCGAGCTGGAATTCAGCYGTCATGGGGCTGCAGCAGTGACTCAGCTCTCCCTGGAGCAGGAGCCTGCCAGCTCCAGCCATTGCTCCCCAAGGTTTCCCTTTGATGAAACAATAAGGGAATTTTTTCATTGTTGTTTTTCTAGATGACTCCTTTTATAGTCTCATCCCTTATAAATCACATGTGTTCTCTAGACATGAAAGTTTGACATCGCTAATGTAAGCTTCTAGTCTACTTGTTTTCTGGTCTTTCCTTATCAGGAGTTACAATTTTATTCACGTTCAAGTGGTTATTTCCACCCTCTGTAAACTTCTCTGCTTTCTACTTCAACTCATCTATGCTATAATTTTAGACATATAATTTTAGCATCGGAATTGTTTTATGATGATCTCCACTATTAAAAGATCCAGAATCATCATTACTGAGTTATTACATACAGCAGCGTAACTCATCGGGAGTAAGGTGCCTGAAAAGTGGTTACAGAGGTGAGCCAAAGTTTTGGTCTCATCTGACTATTAATTTAATTTATTTTGGTAATACAGAAGGGTTGATACTTTAATCTCTGGTTCAAATTCACAAAGCCATCAGCTGCAATATCCAGATGAGATTTTGATTGTGCAAGTAGAACCATATCCTTTCTTTAAACTGTATCTCTAGGGAAAATAGGAGTTCATTAATGCAAAAGTTCATTAATGAACAAAGTAATGTGGATTTTTTTTWAAAAAACTAGAGCTAGCTGAATGCTGCAAAAAGAAAAAAATAGAAAGATTCACTGGCTTTTTAAAAATTATTTACTTGAACTGCCCTGGTTTCCTGCTGTGATTTTCTCTTTATGCTTMTGCTAGAATGAACATTCTAGCAAATAAATTTGACAACAAAAGTTTTCACAAAAAAAAGAGAAGAAAGAAGGCCATGCAGAATGAGTTGCTTGCTTGTAAAGTGCTCATGAAAGACGTTTGCTCCCAAGGGTCACCCCTCCGTGYGGGAGAGAGGAGTGTCTGCGCTGCGTGTGCAGGGAGGCCGAGCTGCCTCCCSTGCCTTGCGCTCGCTGAAAGGGAAGCGCCCCAGGTATTGGGAGGGAGCCCAGCGGAGCAGGAGCGCGGGCCAGCAGCACCTTCCCGAGGCGGAGCTGTGGCCCATCCTATCCTAGCAGCAGCTGGCACGAGCTGTAAGGCATGGAGCTTGCTCTGCCTGGGAGAACCCCAAAGGGGCCCTCACTAATATGCTCCCTCGCGCCTCTTAGCAGGAGGCATCTGCTTATTGGCTTGTATTACGGGCAATCTGTGTCTTCGCCAACTTCTGCTTTCTGATTACTGTGCCTTTACCTCTCTATCTAAATTGATCATCAAAGAAAATTAAGCTRGATACTTGAATGATTTGATTACTTCATCCAAATCTGTATCTTTGTGAGGTGCTGAGCATTAAAATGGCTCTGGTGGGAGCATTTATATCTGACAAGACAATATTCTATTTCTCTTTCCTCACAGATAAGTAGAGGGGACTTCCTAGAGGATCGTCCCATGCAGCACGACTATCTTTTGTCTCTGAATGAAATGGGTAGGTTTCCTATTTCCSAAAGTCCTGCAAAGTCACAGGGATATGCAACGTGTTCCTGTGCTGGGATCTCCTCYGTCGGGGAGCAGCCAGGAAATGTGGGAAGCGCTGGCAGGAGGGCCCTTCTGCAGCAGGGGGGTTCCCAGCGGCACCGTCTCGTCTCAGAGGGAGCTGCCCCTTCGGGYGGCACCAGCTCAGCCTCGGATCCATCTCCAGCATTCAGAGCATGAGGGCAGCTGGTCCCAGGCTCCTGCCTTGGAAGGCAACAGCTCAGAAGTAGCTGGGGAAGAGACAGTGCTCAAGAAATAGCCTGAGTCTCACGGAGCAGGTTGTGAAAGATGACCCAGAGCCCAGGCTGTGCAGGTGAGAGCTCCAAGAGCAGTCAGCGGAGAGGAAGATGGAAAGTTGATGTGAGAGCTGGAGGGGCAGGAATGACACTGTTCACGTGTGGACATGGAGCTCTGTCATTTAGCTGGAACTGAATGCAAGCCCTCACGATGAAGTCCTCAGCTGTAAGTTTGCTGAACACGTGCAGTGCAGTAGCTGGTGCCCTGGGCTTCAGCAGCTGCCTCGAGAGAGCCTGTTAGCTCAGCACGAGGTAGGGTCTCCCTGAGCCACTGCACTGAGTACTGCCCTCCAGCATGGTCAGTCTGCTTGGTTTTGTCCCTCAGTACCTGTGGCTCACAGGCTCTGCATTTGTTTGCTTGCTTGTTCTCTGAGGCCTCATCTAAAAGTGGGATTTTATGTGCAATGGTGTAAAATGGCACTCCTGTGAGGAAAAAGCAGTGCCAAATGGGCATGGAGACTGGTTTTCTCTCAGAGGATTTTCCACATAGGAACAGGACCTGGATCATTATGAGTATATAAGCACATTCCCATGAGGCAAAGAACCTCCAGAAGAGATTTTGACGAGCAACTATAAAGCAAAGTTGCTTAGATTTGCTTTGAACTGCATATCTGCAGGAGCAAGGTTGCTCAGATCTGTCTGTCGAGCTTGAGAAACATCAGTATATTCCCTGTTACTAGTGTGAAACCTTATTGAATTCAGCACTAAAAGCAACTAGGAATTTAAGGGAGCTTTCTTTACAMATCAGAGCTACACTATTGCACTGCTTGCAACTCCCTCAGAACTCTCCACTGTTTTGTTTAAAGCAAAAATAAAGCAGGACACGTGGGCCCAGGCCTTTAAACTCTGTGAAGACATCCYCTCTCCAGAACCAAATCCCAGGCAGCTCCAGGCGGCAGCTGGATGAGGAAACAGAAGGGACAGCTCTTTGCTCCGTGCTCGCCTCAGGTAGTCCGTGCTCAGCTCTGATTAGACACTTAGGGAAGCCTCGTGTTTTCTTTTGCTGTGAGAAAAAGGTAAAGAAAGCCGCGGCATGCGGTGAAGTAGAAAGGCTACTGCTGTGCTCCCTTTCCCTTGCATTCTTCTTCTTTTTATTTTTTCTTCATAAGAAGGGTGTTCCTTTCCTCAAAGAGAGAGGGAGAGGGAGAAAGACTGTAAACTGTCCAAAAGGACCGTGAGAAAACAGGAAGCTTTGAAAAGTACAAGAGAAAGCAAGATGAAATCTATTTGCAGGCGGCTCCCCGGGGACATGTGAGCCATTGTTAAGCAGCCTGTTCATACAGCTATATCCTTCCTTCTGCCGAGGAGGAGCCTGCTGCCAAAAGGCTGCTATCTGGTCATTGCCTTAACCCTCTGAATACCAGCCAGAGGTGCCTGCTCATCCCTTTGGAGCACCCTGCCAGCGAGGCAAAGGAGCTTCCAAAGGCCCATTCCTGATTCTCCCAGCTCTGCACGCTGGGATCCCCGCGTGCTGCAGGGGTTCAGTAGCATCAGGCACAGGCAGGTTCACTGGCTTATTCGTTTCTTGGGGCATTGGGTAGGGACAGAGAAGAGACMAATAAGAGAAACAGGTGCAGAGCTTTCCTGGCTGGAAAAGGTGCCGCTGGCGCCTCGGGGCCTGCCTCACCGGGCTGGCACCTCACGTTTTAGCAGCGTGTCACTGTCGAGTCCTGTCCCAAATCTGAGCTGCCAGCTGGGCAGCACAAACCCCGCAAGCAGCATGGGTCCAGGCATGGGCACGATGTGGGAACCACGTCCAAATGGGAACTCAAGGAAGAGTTTGCAGGTATTCTTGATGTGGGAAGTATTCCAATAATAGAAATTATTTATCTATATAGAACACTATAAGCACTATTACTAGGGTATAAGTTAAGAGAAAACAAAATGCTAATGCTGAAAGCCTTTGCTTTTCTTTTTTCAAAGTAAAAAACTTCAGTGTTATCAAAGCAAAATGAAGTCAAAAAGATTCATTTTGACATTTTCTTTAGAAAATTATCAGTGGGAAACATACTTTCCTATGACATTGTGAAGTTCTACATATTCTGAGAGAAAGTAATTCCATTTAAAAAATTTCATCCAGCTCTACTTCTTGATGAAAGAGTCCTTTTAAGAAAACATTTAATCCTATGATCATGTTGGATGAAAAAGCTCTAGAAATTGCTTCCAGATCGGCCTTCAATTGCTTATGCGTAAACCGTATAATGTGCTGCCTTCTGTATTTATAGCCCTCTTAGAGCAGATCAAAGTGGGGTAAAACCAGCAACCCTTGGCTTCACRAAGCTGCCCAGGCAGCAAAAAGAGCAGATGCGGTGCCCAGTACTGGCTGCAAAAAGGGGCTTTAATAATTCACAAGGAAGGGGCTGGAGATGAGCAGAGCGAGGAAGGCCAGAGCCTCCCAAGGTTACGGGAGATGGACGGAGAGCGTCAGCCTGTGCTGTGCGGGAGGGAGGGAGCAGTCCCAGGGGAGCCTGAAAAGGCAGCGTGCGTTTCTCGGAAAGCCACTTTGTTAGGTGACTGATGTGCTGCTCTCAATTTCAGCCTGGCCATTACATTTGCTCCGTTCAGATCCCTTCTGCAGCTCTGTCCTGCGCTGGCTTTCCCGGAGCCTGCCCTGGCCGTTTGCCTGGCATSGCCGTGCGACGCGGCGGCTGTGTCACCGCTGCGCTCGCTGCAGAGCACTCATTGATCCACTAAGCCTTTCGACAGTGTTCCAAGCTATGAAGCACTTCGGTTTGGATGGAGGTACTAAGCAAGCGTCAGGTATGTTTATTGTCCTCAGATGACAGTGGCATTTAAACACTCACGAAGCAGAGCCAGTATTTCAGGCAAGTTTCTGGTATTGAAGGGGAAGGGGGTAAATCACAGATATTACCTCCCTTCTTTTGGGCCAACTAAGCAAAACCTAGATTAAGAAAAGAAGCCAGACTAGTATTTATGCTAATTTAAAAATAATTTTAGAGTATGTTTTAGAATGTGTCTTGCTTTCCTAGTCCTACCATATCCCAGGTGGAAATATCCAGGGGCTTATGACTGTGCCACCAGAGGAGAGACACTCACCTTGCATTTAAAGGGTTTGACATCGGAGTGGACGATCATGTGGGCCTTGAGAGTCTGCTTTTGCACAAAGCTCTTGAAGCACAAGTGACACTGATAGGCTCTGATGTTGGTGTGGATCAGGACGTGTCGCTTCATGTTGGCCAGCAGAGTAAATTCCCGGCCACAAATTCCACATTTGTGCTCTTTCACACCCTGTAAGGAAAAAAAGAAATAAGRAAACTCGATCGAGAAAATCATCTGCTAATCCATTTCATCTTCATATATATTCTTCACTACAAAAGCAGGTAATAACCTATTTYGTTCAAAATATCATTTGCTCATGCAATAGATACTTAGGTATTATTTCCTTGGCAGTTTCTCCTAAGAAAATGAGAAGCAGAAAAGGAAAACAAAATGTGAGCTTATTGCAAGAATGAGGTTTATTTCCAGCAGCAAATTTACAAAGCAATATGACATAGTGAGTCACTTTCTCTATGGATGAACAGACATCTTCTCTGTTGATTTGCTTATGTGAAGGACTGGTCAAATATGACACATGATATATAGTACATATAGTACATTATTGACCAAGAGTTACCCAGTCAAGAGACTAAGGCTGTGCTTGCCTAAGGTGATTGAACCTCAGAGGTTCAGTGATATTCTAACAACAACTGTCCCCTGTTCTGAAGAAGACTCTATCTGAAATAAGCAAAAATTAGGTCACGTAATAAAGAAATGACACCAAGGACATGCATGACATATTCAGCAAATCAAAAAATCCTATTTATTCCTAATGGGACTCAAAGTTAACCCTAAAGGAACGACTCAATTTTACCATTTGCCAAGCACGCCTGGTGTTCTGCACGCCCCTCGGCCGACTTACTGGCGCGTACCTCAGCACGCTCCTCATACCCGTGTAGCCTAACACTCAAACAGCTGCTTAAAAAGCCAGCTAGAGGCCATGGAAATCAATGAGTTTGCCACTTCAGGAGTCCTTGCTGCAGGTAATGAGCATGTGGTAGTTAACTGCACATAACAGTAACAGCTCCTGCAGCCCTGTAACCAAAGGTAACTGGTAGGGATCTCTCACACCAGTTACTTGTTTTCACAGAATCAATGGCACCATGCAACTGTGAGCACTGCCAGCAGCTTTTAAGTGCCTGCCCCTGCGGTCTGAGGCTGCCTGGGGGCAGCTGAGTCCCGTTAATTGTGTTCAGAGCTGAATCCACCTGCAGCTGYGCACAAAGAAGCAGAAGCTCTCGAAGGGCCTGAGGACACTGCAAAAAAAATTACCAGGTTTTACTTAGCAGAATTCTGTATGGTAAATTCAAAGACCAGGGAATCTCCAGAAAGAGCAGACATGATAATAGTGTGAAGATAAGAAAAAGCAAACGTGGAAGTAGAGGCAGCGTTTTCGTTTAAAAAAAAAAAAAAAAAAAAAAAAAAGCCTACAAAGTTAAAATGCTGTAGCTTTATGTATCTGTTATATTTTTATTATTTGATTTATATATATAATATTTTTTGAAAGCAGATAAACTTATTTCAGATTTTTTGAATGGAACTCTGTTTTTTTTTTTCCCTGTTTTTCAAAGTGATCTTCGTGCTTGTGCTCCATAACTTGCCCTTAGTCGGAAGCAATCTGACTGTGATGGCGAGATCGCCACTTGGTAGGAGGGGTATGGTGCTGTTTGTTCTGCTCTACTAGATGATATTCTGGATAACTTACACAGAAAAGGGATGTTTTGTTGGGTATTTTTATTCTCTAAATGTCACATTATAATGATTTTTCAAAACCTGATGAGTAATAATACATTTTCTTTTGCTGCAAATAGGCAGCCTTCTGCGTATCCACCTACTTCCCAATTAAGGGAAGCAAGGGAATAGATTTGCTTTTCAAGAGAAAATTCCTGTTGCCATTTCAGTGTGTTTAGACAGTTCTGTGAAATTATCTTATTTTACAGAAGGTCATTTGGAAGATAAAACCCAGAAACAGAGAGAGGCAAATACAGTTCTGGGAAGCGATGCAGTCAAACTCCCGCTTGTAATAACGTGTTTGTGCAGGTAGTTTAGGAYTGATGGAGACATCTACTTCTGCAATTGCAGAACGAAACTTTGCACGAAGCTCTTCTGCTGGCAAAGGGCYCCACGATGCTCTGTGGGCTGTGGACCTTCCCTTTGAGGACCTTGGTGGCCCTTCACTGCACGGGCTGGCGCGCCGCGGGAGGACCTACCTTGTGCGTCAGGGAGTGCTGCTTGAGGTGGTGGGGCTGCACAAACTCCATGCCGCACTCGGTGCAGATGTAGGGCCGAATGTCCTTGTGCTTCATCATGTGGTTTTGCAGCTGGCTGGGGTACTGGAAGGTCTTGTCACATTCGGTACAGTTGTACTGCACGGGGCCGCGGTGCGTCGTTAGGTGCCTCTTCAGCTGGGCCAGCGTTGGGAAGTCCAGGCCGCACTCCACGCAGATGTTCTCCCGGCCGCTCTCGTGCTTCGACTCGTGCGCCTTCAGCTCGCTGGGGTAGGCAAAGCCCCGGCCGCAGATCCGGCAGTTGTGGGGCTTTATGTCGCTGTGCTGCATCATGTGCCTCTTGAGGTGGCTGGTCTGCGTGAAGGCCTTGTGGCACACCTGGCACTTGTGCGGCCTGGTGCCCTGGTGCGTCAGCATGTGCGTGTGCAGGTGGCTCAGCTGCTTGAAGAGCTTGCCGCAGCGTGTGCACGCGTGCGGCTTGATGCCGCTGTGCCCCAGGATGTGCGTCACCAGGTTGTACTTGGAGGTGTAGGACTTCTCGCACATGGGGCACTGCCAGCGCTTCTGCTCACCCCCCACGTCAACGTAATAGCTGTCGTCTATCTGGAGGTTCACGTCCACTCTTTCCACTTTCTGTTTGGTTTCACTGCTTTCTCTCACTTCAGCCCTCCTGAAGGATGGCTCTGGAGGCCGTTTCATTTGAAAGGCATTCCTGAAATGAAAGTTCGGGGGCACAAGGAAAGGAAGCATTAAGCCAGGATGGACTTTAGGATAGTACGAGTAAGGAGCCTGCATGAATGCCGGGCTACTGGGCCAGGCCACGTTTGGTTTTACGGCTTCTTGCTTGATGGRCTTGGCTCCAAAGTGCTCCAACGTCCTGTAGAACTGGAAACCGAAGTTGCAGAGGTCAATCATCTGGGAACTGTACTTGGGCTCTGCCGGCTGCTGAAACATCATGGGGAGACTGGCAGAGCTGAGATCATGATGGTCTTCAGGTCTGCGTGGTGGTGACGAGGAGCCCTCAGGAGGAGGCATTTTGGTTGGCATGCTCTTGCGCTTCCGAGACCCTCCCTCCAGTGAGCCCTGGAAGGTCTCCATGTCTGCCAGCGGAGGAGGACCATAGCGGAAGTGGGAGAGGTGCGGCCTGAACTCCTCAGCGAACGGAGCCGGTCGGTGGAGCTTGGGGACAGGGCTCAGGGCAGGCAGGCAGCGGGAGAAGGGAGGTGCTCGCGCAGCCTCCACCTTGAAACTTGTTTCTTCGTTCTTCAGCATAGTTGGTTTCTTCTGTGTTGCCAAAGTGCCTTTAAAGAAACAAGCAAACAAATCTCTTTATTCTTTCCTGYTCTCCTGGGATTGTAAGATAGCATTTATTGATTTTTTGATTTTGAGGTTGTTTTTGATTTGGTTTGGTTTTAGTAAAGTGTCGCTTAGGTGTGTGTAAAATATAAGTCTTTTAAAGCAGAAATAAACTTTCTGGGGGAGAACAAAGCAGCTTTGCTCTTCCCATGGTAGAACTGGTGGGTTATATCAAGCCTGGCTCATAGAACAGCTCAGCGGTGTAAACAGGGACCCACTGCTTAGCAGCCAAATCCGTATGGCAACATTTGCACTTAATTTAATTCAGCCAGGCTATTTGTGGGCAAACTCCTGTCCTTGGCTGTGCCTGCTCAGGCTCCAGAAGTTGGCGGTGCATCTAAAGGATATGGCAATACAAACAATAATGTGCACATTTATTATGGCCGTGACATGGAAAGTCAAAGCCAAAAAAATTTTAGCTTCTTTGTATCATTAACATGTGCTGCTGTGAGAGCRAACAATGGCCGAGGGATCTAAGGACACTGTGTACCATCAGGTTTTGCGCCGGGCTTCCTGGCTTCTCTCGCTCTGTATTGTAATAGGAAGGTGGGGATTAATTTATTTTCTTTGTTTTGAGCCCAGAGATATTTACCTGGCAGATTTGGGGAAGGAAAGGCCTTTAACCACTCTCTGAACTACATTCATTTTTTTTTTTTTTTTTTTGACTTAATCTAAAAAGGGGGAAAAACCTGACTGGGAAACTAAAATACAGCAGCATTTCAACAACCTCTCAGCTCTCCAGAGTAACTAACGCCTTAAAAATCCTAGATCCTTCCCAGCGATACCTGGGACAAGGCAGAGCCATGAACTTCTCTGGCTCCTCTGCTTGTGCCGGGAACTCCTCCTGAGTTTGGAGTTCAACTGAAATACTGGATATCAATTCTGCTTCATCTTAAGTAAGGCTCCTGCCTTTTGCCCTGGCTCTCTAGGGATGCTGCATACGAATGTGTGCCTGTGTGTGTGGGTACAGGCCATGCATCCGAGCAACCGGGAGGAGCTTGGGCTGGAAAACTAGCCACATTTTCCCTCTGTCACCTCTGACATGTCGGTGCTATATATAACACCATTCTTGGAAAAATTGGGTGGAGAGCCTGAAGACAGTTAGAGAACTATAGAGAACACTCCTAATTCTTTTTTTAGGAAGCCCCATACTGGRTAGACCTGCTTCTAAAGACAGATGATCTCTGCGCTCTAGCCAGGCTGTGAGCAAGAAGAAGGTGCCTTAAGCACCTGCTCACAAAAACATCATTCCCATTTAATAAGATGGATCTGGAATTTTGTTTGAGATGCTGGGTAAAGCCAATGGTTCAGTGATAAAACTTGAAGATGGAAAGTTTTGGACAAAGTTATGGGAACCAATCAATACACAGAAATGGAATAATTATTGAAAACGGTAGGATTTCAGAAGCACTTGTGAGAGTGCAAGAGTCTAGGAAAGCCTCAGCTGAAACTGAGATAACTGTCCAATAGTTATATCAGGATGTGACTTTCAGATCCTAGCTCATGATTGTCAGTTTATATAAAAAATACTTTTTGAGTAATYGCATCTGGCTTATAAAAATTAGTAGAAGAAGGGAATCTTTTGACTGAGGAAATTTTGGATCTCGAAGAAAGACTTCAGTTCCTTTCAAAAGGAATTTATTTTTTAAAATTCATTTTAAGCAATGTTAAACTCATACAAGCTGGACATAAAATGTACCTGTGCATCAAAATCCTCCCTTAACAGCATGGCCCGCCCCTCAAATGCCCTTCATCTTATGTACCTGATTCTTTCTCAGCAAAATGAGTGCAAAAGGCTTCAAAAAACCAGTAGCAATTTAGAGCCAAGCTGTGTTTTCAGTGGCTTTGTTAGATTATTGAAATGCTGCCAAAATGCAGAGGAGTGACAGTGAGTTGTGGCTAATTGCTCTGTTGTCTCTTAGCTGCCGCTTCCTCTCTTCTTCCACAGGCTGCTGCTGTAGGATTTCAGTCTATGTAGAGCGTGGAGTCATGGCAGAGGCTATAGAACTGCCTGAAATTGAGGAAAATAAATAATTTCCTTGCACTACTAACCTTTAGTTGCTTTCAACGAGCGCTTGTTTTTATCCCACACTCCTCAGCTACACACATGGTGGGACTGAGCCTGCAAGGGAAAGAAAATGCTTAAACAGTCAGTGACCAGTCACGGATGTGCCGTATAACCAGACTAAGGAGAACCTAAAAGGGGTAAAGTATAGATTTACAGTCTAACTATGGGTCACCTTGTTCTTTATCTCTTCTTCAATCTATCAAACCCAGTAATATAGAAATGAACTGAGGAAAGGTTAAATCTTGCTCTTCTTGTAACGTCCTTTCAGGTTGGTAGCAAACCCATGATACTGTCAGTGGCGGCATCATCGTCGCCTTGGTTGTAACTTTATTCCATAAAAAAAGGAGTTCTGAGAAAACTGTAGGAAAGATTCTGTGTTTAACCAATACGCACGAAATAGTTCTCTGATACATAAAGAGTCCCTTCTGCTTTAAATAACTGCAGGAGAGAACTTTAACACATTAATAGCACATTTACCCATTAATTTTGTTCTAACTTTGGAGTAGCTGGTCTCTTGCTACTCAATCATAAGCGAGAAAGCAAAGAACTTTTATATTAAATATCTCCTGAAAACATTTTGACTTTAAATCTTTCTTTTTCCAGCACCTAGTTATTTAAGATAGGAGCGATATGTAAGGCAGTAATGTGTGCTCCAAACACCGAGTCYAGTTTAAATCTTGATAGACATTTAAAAATACAGCATTTCTCATTTAGCACTTATTTCAGTTATTCAGTTTTGGAAACCTGACCTGGAAACCTCACTGAGACAGAACTTTCTATGCTACTTTGGTACTTAAATTGTAAAAATTCCTAGATCCAGGACTTCATAGCCTATACAAGTAGTTTAATTTCTTTAGAGCAGACAGGCATCCCCAGTTTCTTTTTCTTTATGTAAATAAAGAATATATTTGGAATATACTCTGAGATTTTTTTTTAAAAAAGAGCTACAGATCAACTCTCTTCCGAAAGCCTCTGCTTTTGGAAAAGAAAAAAAGGCTTCATTTAGTTCAGATAGTTGTTGAAATATTTTCAGAACAGAATCTCCATGCAGAAGGTAGTAATTTTATCAAATTAACTTGCACGAAAGAGGAAAAGTTTAACATGGAATATGAATCTCCATTTACTTTCCCCATTTCCAGTCACCGTATTTCATGTTTGTGGATGTAAATCAGATGTGCTAAGACGTGCACTCCACTCCGGGGTTACACACACGTAGCTCCAGCTTAAACCCCGCCCCTGCCCATTCTGCTTCTGGGCAAMATAGCGGTGAAAACAGAAACGAGACTGGGACGAGTGAAAGGTGTAAGTGCCCGCTGACAGGGGGAACCAGGCTAGTGCGGGACAGCGGTGACACTTGGCCTTGCTGTTTCAACAGAACATGAAWTAGAGGAAAGTATAGGCTGTGCAAGTATGTGGAGGAGGAAATCCAYGTTTAAATGAGCATGTAGGTCCTCAGAAACACAGCTCTTTGCACTGTTAGAGCGCATTTCTGCTCTCCTCTTGGGGCCTGAAATATTGGAAATATCTATACGGAAAGAATTGATGCTTCTCTATGACTGTAATTGCTTGTTTCTGTGTAGGATCTGCTGAGGACCAGTGAGGAATGGCAGGCTGTTACCCTTCCTGAGCCCAAGCGGAGCAGGTGGGCAGCTTCTCTCRCCAACTGAACGGCCAGGGCCTTGGCTGCTCCTTCAAACTCTTTATAAACGATTTAGAAGTGGCTGTGATCATCTGAATAGGTTTTAYAGGATCTCCTTCATTCATTGCATCCTTTAGTTTAGGGGTTTTTGTTTGTTTGTTTTTGTTTTTTTTTTTTAATATATACAGTCAATCAGCTGTTGAACTGAACACCAAAGTCTATACTTTGTTCTTATATTCGTTAGCTCTTGGTGTAAAACTTACCTCAGGATCTAACTGAAAGGACCTTACTGTGCTGAATTCATCTCCCTCTAGCAGTGAAGCCCTGCTAGATGCCCTCAGAATCTTAGACTGCTTTGAGGTATTTGTCAGATTTGAAATCTCAGGAGTATCTGTACAAATATGAATGTGTCTATCACGACGCAGTATTTTTCAGTGAATTATTATCTGATACTGGCAGGGTTTGGTTTGGATTAATCTCTAAAACAAAAAAGATTATATTCTTGGTTTTGTTGGTTTTTTTAAGTGGATGCATTTTATTTTCTTTTGACTTGAGTGCCTTAAGCTATTAGAGGAGGGCAAGAAGCCCAAAAATCACCTTCAAATCCAAACCAGAACGTCTCTAAAATCAGTGTCAGCCCTACTGACACTGTCATTATTCTTCAGAGCAGCTTGTGGAAAGTGTGGGTTTTATCCATGTTCTCTAGGCGCCACAACCTCATTTTCAAGCACGTGTATTTGAAAAGAGGACTCCATTAACATAGACCTATTATTTCCAAATCAGCCTTTAAGTTCTTATCCTGCATTAGTTGACATTTACCCAGGAGATTTGATTTTCATGCTAAAAGAAGAAAATGCTTTGTCTGGGTGCAGGCAGAAGCGCGACTGCCTTGCAAAAATAAGCAGGGACTCAGGAAAAGTATCCAAAATGAATAGGTGCAGGTACTGACTGGGGAGATACATGCATTAAAGCCTTAAGGAAGCCTTAAATGGAAACACCTAGAGCTGGGACTTTGTGAAATTTAGTCAAATCTTTGTGATAACGTTTCTAYACACAGTTTTGTCCATCAGGCTCACATACAGCTAGAACTCGTGTCAAAAGAAGTCCATGTCTTAAGCATCCACTTCATTGTCCTCTCAGATAAAGCCTCGTCTCCTGTCTTTATGAGACGGATACGTCTGCTAAAATGAAGAACATTATCAAGATAAACATATTGCCGTGTATTTTTCTCTTCCCCTTTCTGGATTGCCATCATAAATAGAATTGGAATTGGGAACAAGTAAACTATTACTTGTGAAAATGATCTGGAATGACTAAAATTGAGAACTAGACAAGATCTTTTTTTTTTTTCCTCCCTGCATTAGTATAATAGTACTGAGGAGCTGGGTGTCTTTTCACTTCTCCCTGGGAAATTACCTTTATCTGCTGTTACTGGGCTTCAGGATAAAGCTGCTTCTTTCCGGCAGAAAAACAGTCATTTCTCAGCAAATATGTAGTGAAGTTGTCAATATTGGTAACACTTCTAAAGGCATAATTTAGAGCTCACTGAASTTTATGGAAAGTCTCTCATCAGAGAGAGACTTTGTGATTTTCCAAATCATTTTATCTGGGTTTGGTTGTCTTTTGAATWGTAATGCCATCTGAGCCGTAATGTGCTACTCCGGACAAATCTATTGTACACATATGGAAAGAAATACCTGATAGCCGGGGATAATTTGTTAGCAGAAGGAAAACTTTATAGACAAACTTAATGGAAAATGTATAGGWATACACCTAGTAAACTTGATTTAAAAAAAACCCTCAGATTTAAACAGTTTAACATGACACAGTAAAACAATTGCTACCACAGTGAACTTGAAAATATATCTCATATGTTAAATACCCCTTAGTTTTCTTTCCATCACTAGATCTGTTTGAACACATGCTTTCTTTGCTTCATGCTCAAAGTTTGGACATTCTATATTCCTTATGCTCTAAGGACTTCTTGTAGCAGTGTAGCTGCAGCTGTATGAGATGATGCCAATATGAAGAAAAGGGTCTTTTCTAAGGAATCTGTGCATCAAGAGAAATACCCTTCTCATGCATTGTGAGCCCTGTCTTTGCCATTCCCAAATTTTAACATTTTAACTTGCATTTTATTATTATTGTTATTAATATTAATATTTTTTTTATTTTAGCTGGGATATACAGATGTTTGGGAAACCCACAAACTTGCCTACATTGTCCATGGAAGTAGCTTGCTTCTGGGGTCATCCTGGATATACATGAACCTTCGTTTTCTACCTGGTTTTCAGGGAGCAAGACTCTATAAGCATTTTTACAGAAATTTGTTTTTTTCTTGTAGTAGAGAAAAGATTTAAAACAATATCAAAATGAATGCACAGTCACCTTTCCATAACTTAAACATCCTTTTCGTTTTGATAATTATTTGAAATGTTAAAACAGACTCTCTTGAAAGTCCAGAGCTCTTCTACCAGCTGCCCTAACAAACTCAGGGCGCTCTTGGCTCCATCAGGTGTGTTTATAGAGAGGGTTGTGGCATAATTTGCTTTTGCAGTGTGACATTGATTAGGTGTAAAGAAAGTTACCTGGTAGGTAACTCTTTCTTCCAGTATGAATGCTGTGTCCTCGTGCTGGCCAAATGGTTTGCTGTCGCTCTCATGGTTTTTATGTTTCCTGGTTGGGTGGAGGTGGCACGTAACATCTGCAGCAAGCCTTTATCATTACTGCCCTGGACACTGTTCTACCTTCATGGACCATCTTTAGTGATTTCAGTATATTTTTGAAGTGACCTTTGAGTGCAGTTTATGCTTGCTGCTTTTTGGCTCTTTATTTCTCTTTATCCTCTCTCTCCTTTTTTTTCTTCCTCATTGTGAATTTCTTAGTTCTTCTCTTATGTTTCCTTCCCTCTTCACTTCTCTGTTTTGTCTGTGGCTCACTCCCKCTCTGCTTCCCTATTCTACCTACTAGCACGCTCAGCAACACGGTAGTTAACCTGGATGCAGAAAACTCACAGCAGGAGTCCTCTTTGAAACCCCAGGGAGGTCTAGGTGCTTAGGTGGTTTTAGGTGTTAAGTCCAGGGGCTATGAAATGTTACTTCTTTCTGCAGGCTCACCCCAAAGCACAGCTCCTTACAGAGGGAACCTGCAAGGCACAGCAGAACATCTGGCCTTGCAGTATCTAAGGGGACAAGGATTAGGTGTCCTTGGCTGAACACCTCTGCATCCCAGCTYCCCTGCTACCAATAGCAGGTGTGTTCAAGGCTGCGTCAGGATGGAGCAGGGGGAGAGCCAGTTCCTGGCAGATCTTTGCCTCCGGKTCCGCATCCCAGCCCTGGCCCAGCCCTTCCCACAGCAGCACAGGCTTTGGGC